GAGGGCAGCACGAGGCAAGCCTTTCCGCGGGGTCCTCCTTCCTCCGCCGCGCCCCCTCCCTCCCCGCTGCCCGGGTTTTCTCCCCGCCTTCCTGACGTGCTCCGCCAGCCAGAGGCGCAGGGACGGGGTGAGCGCCCCGTAGCTCCGTCTTCTGCAGGTGAGGATTTGAGGAGGGGGCTTTGGGGGCGCTGGAGAGGGGCGGCCCGCAGGGGAGGGGCGGCTTGGAGCCGAGGGAGCCGCGGGCTCCGGCCAGGGCCCTTCGAGGCCTCCTTCGGGGGTCCAGAAGCACTGGGGAGGGGTCTGCCCGCTGCAGCCGCCCTTCCTCTGCCGCTTCCGTGCAGAGCGGCGCGCGTGGGGAGCGGCGCGTGGGGAGCAAGATCCGGGGCGCCCGGGAGCTCCGGCTTGGCGGGGGGCGGGCCGGGGAGGGGCCCCCGTTCCCGTTGGGTGGGGTCTCCCGGCTGCCCTTCCCGGGTATCGATCGCCCTGCCTGCGGTCGGAGGCGGGCGGCTTTCAGAGGGGAGGAATCTCCGCGCCGGTTGCCCCCTTGAGAGTTCTTCTGGGCATGTGCAGAGCGCATCGCCTCCTTGTTCCCGATGGCACGGGAAAGAGCGGCTGAACAGAGTGCACCCGGTGCACCTTGAGGAGCACGTCAGGCCGCCCAGCGCAAGCCCCCCGGGCGATCGGCACCCAGCGGGTTGTGTGAATCCGGCCACTGGGTCTTTCGGCGACCCGGGTGCGACAAACGCGCTTCCTCGTTGCACTGTTAAAATGTTGCTTCCTTGTTGCTCCTTGAGGACCGGCTCCTTGAGGACCCCGTGCCACCCCACGGCTTGCCTCCACCCCGCATGCCAGCCAGGTTCCCCTTTGCTTGCGTTTTGCAAGCAAAGCTGTCCAAATATTGTGCAACCCCCAAAAAGGGAATTAATTCAGCTACTAGTCAAGCCTGTTCTACAAACGCAAGGGGCTTATTTGGGGATGGGAGCGTGGCTGGCCGGAGGCCCCCGACCGGTGTTTGAGTCACGCCCCAGAAACTGCCCTGCGGAAATCCAAGGTCCGGATTTCATTACTCCACCACAATTCAAATTCTGGAAAGTCAGAATTTTCAAAGATAAGTTGTGGGCAACGCTCTCTGGGACTTTTTCCCCGGGTAAAGCTGGTAATTTAGCAGCACCTTGCTAGCCCCGAGTGCCCCAGGTGTGGTGGGCAGGGAGGCGGGAAATTGCCTTGCAGTCTGGTTTAGATGTTCCTGTCTATTCCTTCCCAAAGTGGAGTTTTGCCTTAATCATTATTTCCATTTTAGTGCTGGGCGAAGGAGAAGCATTTTAAGCTGTGTGGACTTCACCTCCCAGAATTCCCCAGCCAGCCATGCTGGCTGGGGAATTCTGGGAGGTGAA